GCAGCTCTATAAAGAAAAAAGATGGTCACTAACCATCTTTTTTTTTTGACTGCGGTGATAAACTCTCTTGACCGGCTGAGCTAATTTTTATTAATTAAAAATTATACACCGATCTATTGATTGAGGCGCTTGAGAGCACCCTAAGTCGGACTTTCGATCCTCAGACAACTATACAATAATACCAATTATTTTGCTATCTAGCAATTTGAAATTGTAGCACAATATCTAATTTTTGATTTAAAAATCCAAATTATTTTTAATATTCTGAAAAAATTTCCCGAGAATTTAAAATAATACATGACTAATAAATTATTTTAAAATAATCAGCAACTATTAAAAAAATTTTTTGAACTATTTTTAAAATATAATCAACTCTTGTTTGAATTATCATTAGTAAAGACTTAAGTAGATGATGACTGTTGTTATATAACACCATTCTCTATTCACAACTAGCAGGTGTGTACTTTAGGGTACATAATTTTAATGAGCTAAAATAGAATTAATTTACTTTTTCTGTGAATGCATAGTGCTATAAAAATAGTATATATTTGTGATGCCCGATTATAAGATAATACACTTTGCCTTATGAAAATATCAATTATTACACTTTATTATCATATGTAATCTGCTCATTCAGAAATCGCGACTAGTCAAAAAAACTTTCAAATTACTTCTAATGTTCACAATATTTTCCATAATTGGACTATAGTCTCTGGCAGTTCCTTTTGATAACTTGCCTATTTCAATTACATTCCAACAACCTATAATCACAAATATATATATATATATGATAAATAAAATCTTATACAAGCAAGCAAAATTCAACATTAAAAAAACTCACCATTTAGTGATCGATTAATAAGACACATTATAACCGCTTGTGAATTGCCAGCTTCATTTAAATCATACTTACACAACTGTTTAAACGGATTCGCTTTATCGTATAATTTAAAACTTTGATTCCGAAAATGGCTAATTGTAGGTGAACTCCATGAACTCAAGATTAAATAAATTTGCGTAACATCATTAGGAAGATTGTCGAGTTTCGCTGTAATAGTGTGATGTCCTATAGCTGTAAATAATTTAAATACACATCAAAAATGTAATGCACACTAAATGTAACAAAAAATAAAATTTGATATTTAGAACATACCTTTTTTGCGATTCATGATGTCCCCAGAATGCGAGATATATGGTATGCCATGATGAATTCTATGATTATAGTCGTATACTTTCCATAAGATATTACCTTTATATATCAAACAAGTGCCGTCGAGATAGTCTATTCCTTTATCAGGATAGCCCCAATGTAAATCGAATACTAAATTTTTTACAGCTTGTCCTTTCGAGATAGAATAAAGTAAGACAATAAGTTGAATATGGCTATTTGCACAAATTCCATAACTTGTGAGTGTATTATTTTCGTCATTCTACATAGAAAAAATAATAAATAAAATAAATACTATAAGATTAAATTCGCAAAAACCTTTAATAAAAAAATCAAAAATAAATTATGTACTTTGAGTTTCATGTTTTTATAAATTAACATTTGTCTTTCAATATCTATCTTGGTATAATTCATTAATCTATGTTTTAATTCATTAATCGTATTAATTTCAGAGAGTTTGAATTCAAATTTTTCTCCATTTAATCGTACAACATAAAAGGTTCCAGAATTTTTATTTTGTCCAGGAAGTTCAATATGCGATTGCGAAAAGCTTTCTGAATCGATTTTAAAACTTGCATTATCCCAAATCAAGCAGTAATCATTAAATTCTTGTTCAGTTAATATAGCATTGCATATAGGACATTGTTGTGTTTTTTTCAGATATATTACAAGGCACTAACCAAAGAGACTAAATATAAGTACAGTAATTATATAATACATGTTTGTACATAATGTTAAAGTAATCATACAATACCTTCAAGCACCAGGAGGCAACATGTTCACATTTTGAACTAATTGTACCAAATGGAAACTCTTCTGAAAGCTTGTCAACTTGACACTGTTTACATTTCATTATTAAACATGAAAGAAATATTCTGACCTTATATATCGTAAGTCGGCTATGTTACCTAATTTATTTATTGTTTTGCTAAATTAATCGATTACGTAACTATTATTAATAGATCCGGAATTAAATGTCCGAACAAATGATTAATAGTTTCAATATAAATAAACATTTTTTTTTTATTTGGAACGTTAACTAATTATTATCGTGCAAACTCTCATGATCATGGATTTTTTCTTCTTGTTATTTTTTGAACGCTATTACATAAGCATAACAATCTCGAATTGAAACTCAGTTAGCTAATAATGACTTGTAAGTAGAGTTGGTGGTGCAGTTATAATTTTAGTGGTGTACCAAATATATACCAACAATATCTTTTGGTGCGTGGTGCACCATTATACTACACATATTGTCTGATGCTAGTAGCTTCATATATACCTATCTTTTGTTATACTTCCATAAAGACATAAAATTACAATTATATCTTGTTGTTACATTACCCTATACTTTCGAACACTTTCGAACATTACTACCACTTTTTAGCTTGTTAAGCTCGTATTTTGTGCTCATTCACTGTCTACATCGGGTTCAATTAGTTAATATTATAGTTACCTTTAATATTGAGCTAAAGCTGACCCTATCCTTCAAAAGTTATTTGGAAAGTTTACGCACGTATGTATGACATATTACACGTACACGCTCCCTTATATAAAATAAATTTAAATATGACTGTGTTGGCGTGCCAACTGGTGCACCAATTTTGTGCACCATTGGCGTCGCCAAGTACCCTGCACCACCAACTCTACTTGTAGACCATGATCATAATTGCACAATAAAATTGATATTGGATCATGCGATGATAAATATCATAAATTTTGTTCTGTCAAAACAAATGATTAGCTGAAATGTGCCGCTGCGTCTGCCAAGCTCCGACTAAACAAATTTCATGATATTAATCGTTACATGACCAATATCTTATAATTAATTTACAAACCCAAAATATTACGGTGTTTAATATAAAGAATAAATGTCCAGAAAGTTTAGTTTACTTAAACAAAATGAAATATAAATGTAGGTCGCTATGAAATTCGAAAATTAAAAGGTGTTTTTTATTTATATCTCTTATCCTTATTTTAATTATACTGTATAATTTTACAACTATGCTGTAATAGTTGATTTGGGAGAGCGACGCATAATGAATGCGCAGTGCAGTTTTTGAAATTTTATGTTCGCATGTTCCCATGTTCTCATGCTCTCATACCTTAGATTTGAGAATATTTGATATTCTGTAAATGTTCTCTATGAAAAAAAAAAATTTAGAACATAATCGAAAAATGTGTTCTCTATATAAGTATAATAGCATAATGTCAGATGAGATTTAAATTAGAAATCGAGCAAAGTTCCGAAATCATCCGAACATAAAAGACGAAAAAGGTTGGGACAAAAATTTGAAAAATGTCCGATATTTTTCGAAATAAGTATTTTAAAAATATAGGGGATATTAATAAATTTTACTGTTGAGAACATTAAATTAAATAAATCTCAAACCAAATTTCCTATACTGGAGTAGTGTAGTTCCAACTGCTACTAGAAGTTATGAATTAAATGATACGAGGTTTCTAAGGGCATAGTAATTCTATAAGTGCAATTTAATGATGCTGTGAATAAGAGAAAATCATTACTTTATGATGAAAACGAGGCCCTTTTTATTAATATAAATGCTTCACATTTATACATTTTGATCAATATGAAAGAGAACTCACCAGAGGCTTTAACATACTAATTTAATTAGATGATCAAATAACCAAATGAGTAAGATCATAAAAAATTATTCATTACAATACGCTATTTTTAACAAATTTTAGCTTTTCCGCACTCACTTGATTTTTCAAGCTGCACGTATTGCTTAGATCTTTCAGCTAGATAGATGGATGTTTAAATCACCTCTCTTAATAAGTAGATACATTGTTAATTAATCCATAAAACTGATTTTCATAGTTGATGAAATTGTTATAGTTAGCGTTAGCAGTATTATTGGAAAAATAATTTGTATTTGGAGTTTAAATCTCATTAAAATTCCGAATAAAATAGACGTATCTGGAAATGTTTCTTTTTTTTAAGTACTGTATTATCCAACCCATTTTTTCAAATTTTCAATATATATATATAAATAAGGCCCAATTATGTCGATTATTCTATAAATTTATTCGGTTTCACCCGATTGAGACCTTAGTTCCTCAGAGTTATCTAATTCTTGGTCTTTTTACAGGCACATTACATTCGCGGATGGTATACGGACACGTACCAATTCATGTGACTTTGCACGTACCGAATATCACAAATTTTTCTTAACTTTTGAACAAATTTTTGCAACAACTGACTGATGGAATTCGATGGAAATTTTTTTAAATAAATTATACGAATTAGCAGAATTCATTTAAAAATTTATCATCGAATTCCATTGAGTAGTTGTCGGGAAATTTTCATTCGAAGTTAGGGAAAATTTCTGCGGTCTTCAAAAATAGCCACGGCATAAATTTTCTAAACTTTGAACGAAAATTTCTCAACAACTATCTGATAGAATTCAATAAAATTTTTTAAATGAATTTTATATAATATTAGAATTTATTTAAAAAAAAATTTAATCGAATTTTGACAAGTAGTTGTCAAGAAATTTTCGTTTACAGTAAAGTTTGGGGAAATTTCTACTGCATTTTAACAACCGCGGAAATATTTTTCTAAACTTTGAACGAAAGTTTCTCAACAATTATCTGATAGAATTCGATGTAAATTTTTTTAAATAAATTCTAATATTTTATAAAATTCATTAAAAAAATTTTTATTGGATTCTATCAGATAATTTTTGAGAAATTTTCGGTCAAAGTTTAGAAAATTTATGCCATGCCTATTTTTTTTAGAAGACCGCAGAAATTTTACCTAATATGAATGAAAATTTCTCGACAACTTCTCAATGGATTTTGAAGATAATTTTTTTAAATGAATTTTACTGATTCGTATAATTTATTTAAAAAAATTTCATCGAATTCCATCAGACAGTTGGTGAGAAATTTTGTTCAAAAGTTAAGAAAAATTTGTGATATTCGATACGTGCAAAGTCACATGAATTGGTACGTGTCCATAGAGCAAAAGTATCGTTTTTGATGCAAAAGTATCATTTTTGATATTGAACCTAGGTGCCACACAAAAAATGCGCGGCAGATCCTCGATTTTGATTGGCTAAGAGCAACGATCAAAAAATTAGACCGGAATTATTCATAATTCTACTAATGAAATCACAGCCGCCTATTAAGTGAAAATTGTTTCTAGGTTAATTTTACCATAATGCGGCTTATTTCTTAAAAATTTCTATTTTTGTAATGAAAAAATTAAAAAGTTAATTTCTGCCAGAAATTAGTAAATAATTATGTAATGCGGGCCAAAATTTTGAAGTCTTCAGCTTTTAGCCAATCAAAATCGAGGATCTGCTACGCATTTTTTGTGCAGCTCCTAGTATAACTGTTTTGATATTTACTCTAGGTGCTGCACAAAAAATGCATAGCAGATTCTCGATTATGATTGGCTAATAGCAGAAGATCTTCAAAATTTTGGTCCGCATTAAATTCTGACCAGAGTTAACTTTTTAATTTCTTCATTACAAAAATAGAAATTTTTAAATAATAAGCATGCATTATAGTAAAATTAACTTAATTAGTAAAATTATAAGTAATTCTAGCTTAATTTTTTTGGCCAATCAAAATCAAGGATAAGCCACACATTTTTTGTATAGCACCTAGATTCAATGTTTTTGATAGATCTGCAGTTGCTTTTTTGATAAATCTAAAATTTACACCAAAATTGATTTATGTTCTTAATGCATACATTATTGTATAATCTATTTCTCGCAGTTTAGAAAAATAAAAGTTTTTAAAATATATTGGTACTCAACTAATCAAATTCGATAGATTTTTTTATTTAAATTTTATGAATTCATAAATTTGAATAAAGAGAATTTATCAAATTCTGTCTGGTAGTAGTAGAATATCTTTACTCAAAGTTAGATAAAATCAAAATACCTATTAAAATAGAAACTGTATTGATTTTTATAAAATTTTTAAGTGAAGCTATCTTCATAACCACTGACCAAATTTTATAATATTTTTTATTTAAATTCTATAAATCTATAGAATTTAAATAAAAAAAATCATCAAATTTTGATCTGATAGTGGTGAAAATATTTTTGCTCAAAGTTAAAAAAAAATTAAAATATCTATCTAAATTAATGCTACATTAATTTTTTAAAAAAAATTTAAGCAAAGATAATCTCAATAACCACTGGACAAAATTTGATAATTTTTTTTTTTTTTTTGAATTCTATAAATTTATAGAATTTAAATAAAAAAAATTATCAAATTTTGTTCTGGTGGTAGTAGAGATAGATATTTTTGCTCAAAGTTAAAGAAAAATTATCTAAATTAAAGCTGCACCAATTTTTAAAAAATTTGAGTGAAGATAATCTTCACAACCACTAGACAAATTTAATAATTTTTTTAATTTGAATTCTATAAATCTATAGAATTTAAATAAAAATAATTTATTAAATTTGATCTGGTGGTAGTGGAGATATTTTTGCTTAAAGTTAAAAAAAAATCAAAACATCTATCTAAATTATTAACTATAGCTGCTACAACAAATTTAAACTGGTTGATCCTCAATTTTAATTGGCTAACAGCTGAGAATCTTTGAAACTTTGGCCCATATTACAAATTTGTTTACTAATTTTTGGCTGGAATTAACTTTTTAACCTTTTCATTACAAAAATAGAAATTAGAATTGTAATAACTTATCTGACAATGTAACTTATATTATATGTCTATATGTTCCTATGTAAGTTACAAATATATTATAGTAAAGTAGGCTGGCTTTGTATTATCACCAACCAGAATAAATTTAGCCAGCATTAAGATTATTAAAGGATGAAATTATTATTATTGTTATACATAACTTACCTT